TCAAGGGAGTTTGAATCTCTGCTCCTCATTAATACACAGTGGAAACTCTCTGCCAAATTTTCTAGCAAGAGAAAATGCCCTTCAGCAACTGGGAAGATCTGGCAGCCTTGAAGAAAAAATATGATTTAGTACTGACAAAAGGCTGCAATCAAGTATTCTTGGGGCACCTCCAAGAGGTGGTGGATGAGGAAAGGTCTGAACAGTGCAAAGGTGCATGAGGGTGAGAAAGGAGTGGTAGGGCATGAAAGTTKGTGGGGAGCAGATGTAGCATTAGCCAGAATATCACTGACGCTCATGATGCTCAGGCACCATCAGAGGACTGTGCCAAAGCAGGACAAGCTCCTCTCTCAAAGGCACGTAGCTCATCTAGTGCAAATATTAAAAATCAAGAACATAACTGTGTTGAAGCTAAGACTTTTTTCCCCCATATTAATTATCCCTAATTGTTGGTGCGATAGCCAAATTCAAATAGCAACCCTGGCTATTATGCACGCCCTACCTGTGCCCTGAGCAGTTCTCAGGAACTGAGGCTTTTATTACATGTGATTTGAAGGTGATGAAATGCCTCAGTGATGAAATGACCCATGTTGTAGGGATGTCCTCAGTATTTAAAGCATCAGCTGAAAATGCTTCTATCCTAAGGCCAGTTTCCACAAGCTGTACCTTGAATCACGTGATCTAGTCATATAAGAAGCGATCTTCCATATAGACTTCCAATGACTGCTCACATACCTGTCACCCAGTGAGATTAAGCCCCACGTAGGAACCTGAGCTAGCTGAAAGCCACTTTCTAGGACTTAGAAAGTTATCTGTGACAAACTGTCAAAGCCCATTTGACAATGGGAAGCTTTAAGAGTTCCTCTTCCTATTATTTCTGTGGGTAGAATGTCAAGTCCTGCCGCCGACCAGCAGTTTAAGTCATTACAGCTGCAGGTTATAGGATCTCTTCCTCTTTCTAACATGCAATCCAAAGAATTTGGTTTATCTGCCACAACGCATAGATAGGATCATCTGATTTCACACACTAAAACTCTTTTTTTCCTCCTAAACAACTACTGTTACAATACCTATATCAAACAGTAATGCTTGGTCTCAGAATGCACACCAACTGCATTTATTTTCATTTTTGTAAGATGTACTGTGGTAAGAGCTATGGATTTGATAAACACCTTCCAAACCTATTACTGAATTGCTCCTCTGGAACTAACATGTGAAAATCAAGCATCAGTCAGCATAAAATAAATGGGATATAGCACAGAGCAGTCTAATGGTTCTAGCACATATGGTATTGTGAGAAATGATTTTCTGTGACAGCAAAATATGAAAATGAACAGAAGACAAATGATTTCCCTGAACTGCGCTGTAAAGTTTGCCTTTCCTGTGAAGACTTATATAGAATAAACTGTCAAGATCACCTGGAATTACCTAATCTGATAGGCATTATGTGTGACAGATAAAACATCTGTTTAAAGAAAATCAAGTGTACTTATCCATGGGCTTACATACTGACCCAAACCAGATCAGATAGCGGGAGTTTCTCTAACAAATCTTGCACAGAATTCTCCAATAATTTATAGCAATCCAGAGACATGAATCTCATTCCATTTTCTGTTCTATTGACTAGCACGCCACAGTTRATTTAAATGTTCTAGCTGCATTCTATATAGAGGGAGGATCGGTGGGAAGTCTTGAAACTAAAATCATTTGGAAGACAAGTGGGTAAAACAGGAGTTATTCAGAATAAAGTCTGTCAAGAAAAAAATCCATTGCTTCTCTATCAGAAGTAAAGGTATTTTAAGTGTCATTGTCTTCAAAGACAAGCTTTTATCAATGGCATAGGAGAAAATGTGAATTTCAAGTGAGATAACATGCATCAATGAGATGCAGCTGAAACTCTTCCAACTGTCAGTAAAAAAAAACCTCAAGTCAAATTAGTTCAAACTCATGGATCTCCCTATAATGTATAGATTATGTATTGAATCTTATTTCATGCAGAAGTCTAAATAGTCCTTTCTCTTTCAGAATTTGTTGTCTGGATCACATAAAAGAGGCCATGTCAAGTTTGGCAACAGAAGAGCAGGAATTTGGAAACATGAGAATCAGAATGAGCAGACAGAGAGGTACTTGAGGAGCACATGATGGCCAGAAAGGGCTGAGGACTGAGATGGAGGATCACACTGGTGGCGAGGGTGATGTGGTAGATGACAGGAAGCTGGTGCAGTCAGGGWGATGAGGGGAAAATGACTTTACCAGAGATATTTGGAATCAACTGGAAGGGAGAAGGAAGTCAATCACAACAGTGTCTATTATGTAGTTTTGCAGGCACAAGGACATTCTGGCTGGACACAACATATGTGGTACTGAGGTTGAAACACATGCTACATAAGAGGCAACATGTGAAACCATAGTGCCMCAATAGCCACAAATTGTCTCAACCCCTTCAAGCGTTCATCCAAGAATCTGGTGAGATAGCCACAAACCACAGTTCTATCTACTGTATAATCAACTTRTTTTGGGAGCCTGCATGATTGTAGCAACACTTGGACATCTGCTCCAGTTGCCTTGAAAAATCAACTCTGAGCGACTTAACTAGAATTTGCCAACATGAATGGGGCAGCTCCCTACTTAAAACAACAGAACTAATAATGTCATTCACCTACTTCAAGATAGACCTTGAAACTCTGACTCTTGGCACACTAACATCTTCTAYGGGACTATACGTACAGCTTTGACAAAATTGTCCTCTAATTGTCCTTTAAGTAGTAGCTTCCCTTCTCTACAACTGTAGATCCTTGACATCTCATGAAATATAATCATTACACTGTGTTGGGGCCTGAGGACTTTCAAAGGTTCCTCTTACCTTGCACCCTAACAGAACCCCCAAACTACAGAACTGCCTGCGGACTCTGGACCAATTGCACTTATTCCTMGATATATTCCCAGCCAAAGCTAGAAAAAGGAGGTTAAAGTTACTTATAAGAAAGCAAATTTAAAAGTTGCACTGGATATCCACAAATTTCCTGGGGGAATGGCACTATTTTTTTCTTTATAGACCAACACAAATTTTATGTGTCACCAATGATCAGTTGAAGAGATTAATCTCTAGAGAAGGTTACTTAGAAGAGATTAGTTTAGATGCTCTGAATTTATCCTCTGGACAAACTTCTCTTTCTCTATTGACTGTATAATAAGTCTGGAGGGACCAGGCAAGTGAAGCAGAACCTCTCTTCATTAGACACTTTCAGGCATCAGAAAAATTATCGTGATGATTTGCCTGAAGAGGGCAGGCTCAAGAGCAAGACTAAGAAGAGAACAGTAATTATAGTTAACTTTCTCAAATCATTTTCCTGAAACTCTTTAGTAACAAAAGAAAGTAAACAAACAAAATTATACATTAAACTTCTTTGCAAATAACATACATATAGAGGAAGGAACCTGGATTAAACTATTAGGAACAATGAAAATTCTTTTTGGGCAAATCTGAAAGGAAAACGTATGTTCYGTTCCATTCAGGAGGATCTGCTTCTTGTCACATATGGCAAAAGTTTGCCAGGGTGCTTCTTTACTCCTGTAACCAAATAGCTTTGTGAGTATCCTGGTCTCTGAAGGCAGACGTGAGGAGGAACTAGGAATCCCTCAGTTCAGAGCTTGACCCATCTGATCAAACCCATACCCGTTAGCAGGAGAAAAGAGTTGTTGCTGTGTTGTCTCAGGCCTGTACATCAACTGTAATCTTCCTCCTGTTTCATCTTTCCCTGTATTTTTAGTCTGGACAGATCATTCTGTTGTACTTGAAGATTCACACACTCTCCTGCAACTGTTTTATTTCACCCCTCGCTCAGCAAGCAGTGCAACAAAAGCCAGAAAAGGCGGCTRGGGTCTGGGTACTATCAGTGCTACATACTTCTGACTATTATTTCCGCTTGATGGCTTTGGTTTTATCCAAGGATTATTCAGTTTGGGAATAATAGGAGATTTACATGCTTGCACACAGGTCAAATGACAGTCAGAATGCACATGTGTTGCAGTTTCTTCACCTGCAGATTATTCCTCGCAACTGTTATTTTAAAAMTCCCCTAACTGGCAATGGCAGAAATTATTGTTTGAATCCTTCTGTTGCAGACGTATACTGTTTTGCTAGGTGTCATAAGGGGATATTGCTTAATCCCTCCTTTTGGCTTTGATATTAAATTATAGATTGTTTCTAATAATGTCAGATAAGTTTTCTAAATAGATCATCCCAGTTCAAATGACCATAAAATCAAGAATTTCCAAGGAGCTATTTTCTTAATTCAAAACTTTGCTATCATGCTGTTTTAAGTTTTGGCCAAACTCAAGCAAATAAACACCATCTATAATGCCTTCCTCTGTGACCACAGGAGCAACTATAGATTTTTTGCCATTATTCCTGGTATGCCACAAGACTACACTGAGCACACAGAGATATTAAAAAATAAATAAAAAGCTATGCTGATTTTTGGTCCATAAAGCAGCAAACGAAAAATCCCAAATTTCACCACTCATCCTGTAAGAAAGCTGAAAAAAAGAATGACAGTACTGCAACTTCCGAGGAGTTATTGGGAGAGCTGATATATAGCTGTGAATTATGARTGTAGAAGACAATGCAGAAAACGAGCACCTTATTTATTTTAATGAGGATATAGACATGGACAGGCTAAACAAGCGCACCGGCACCTAATTTAATTTAGAAGCATCTAGTTTCCCAGAATCACATACTTCTATCCACAGCAAAATGAAAGGATGCAGAAGATTTTCCATCACTTCAGGTTTTTGAAATTGGCCATCTCCTTCAACATATTTACAGCCATATATGATCAAGCCCAGCCCTRGAAACATCAATGAAGCTCTATAATACGAGCTAGGCTGGCATAAAAACTAAAGGAACAAGTATGGACTCCTCTATCTTCTTAAGGTATAGCAGTGGAGATGGAGGGGAAAAGCAGAGATAATCCCCAAGTAGAATTCTTAAATGTACTTACCATAAACGGATGACAGACACTCCAGCTCCATCAGCTGAGCCCTGTGGTCACAATATAAAGGCAGGTCTCATCTTCAAAAACCTTCTCTCGGCTCTTGATCCTTTCCAAGATTTCCTAGGGATGAAGGAAGTAACATGTGAGACACGTCTTTGAAAGAAACCTTTTAAACATAGGCCTGTTCAGCGATTGTACTAGATCTGATAGCTTTTTGATTGGGCTGATTTTARAAAAAGATGTCCATCATAAGCCTTCACCTCAGTTTTGTTTCCTTTATAATATATCATTCTGTGACATAACTAGCTTCTGCACTTGGCTTTTATTATGGGGGTACCATATACTACAGTCATAAGTGGGGATAACTTGGAGTGGAGATAAGTTAAACTTTTTTTTTGTCTAGAATTAGGGCATCATCATTAATCTACATGCATTTAAGATCCTAAATTAACTCTGAAGAGATTCCCATTCACAATTGTGTATGTTTTGTACTTTTGAAGCACTAAAGCCCTGTGCTGGACTTCTACTCTAATAAATAAGCTGTCTGTCTTTTCTTAATAAAACGATGTCACAGACTATGCCATGATGAACTTGATTATGAAGTTGCATGTGCTTCTCAATACTTCACATTCCCAAGGAAAGCAGGGGTTATTTTCCACATACTTTTTACATCTCGCTGGGAGGTCTACACAACTGACCTAAACTTTGTCGTGCAATTCTAGCTATGGCACAAAATAGCTCCGCAGGTTATCAATAAAGRTTTTTTAATTGGGAAGAGTGTGTTATTTTATTCCTAGGAAGATAAGTGAGTCTTAGAATGCCTTCTTTCCCAGAAGGTTAGGGGGTTGCACACAAGTCACAAATCTTTCTTGATAATCCTTTACTTGAACCAGAAATTATATTATGCTTTTGTTCTTTCATGCCTAAAACTGACCAAGCGGGCAATGATTTATTTAGCTGGAGTCTTGGGTCTCCTGCCACACAACCCACTTAGTCACAATAATGGCTATGAAACAGATCATGCATTCCAAGACAGGCTATAATTCGTGATCAAGAAACTTGTCCGTTTCAATTACAATATTTAATTTGCAAAGCATTATAAGAGGTTATGAAGTAAAAAGAAACAAGGCAGAAACAAGGACTTCAGACTGTGTTTCAAACATGCGCAGACTAGAAGCGAATGGACCAAGATTAACAACTAAATGCTTTCATGACTAAATATAAAACAAGCTCTTGTAATCATACTAACACTCATCCAATCTACAAATTTGAGCCCCTATTTACAAATAACCAGAGATCAAGGCAATCATATGTTTTCATACACTTTCTCATTAAAAGACAGGAACTGGAGCCCAGATATAAAAGAGGATGCATATCTTGAAAGAATGACTCAGATATAAACAAAATACCATACRATTTTAGGTCACAACTCAGCACATCTTAGGTTTGGCTTTTAGACTCACTAATTTCAACTTCCATTCAAGCTTATGTGCAATGCAAAATAGTTAAAATTGGTGCTTAAAAACTGCTTCTATAAGAATGCACTGGAAAAAAAATACAGAAAGGTAACAATTTTAAAAAGACTGAGGAAACTGTTTTTTTCCATAGTTTAATAGTATCATCTTTTCATTTGAAACAATGTTTTTCTTTTAGATTTTCATATTTAATTATCTGCTTTAAAGTAATATCTAAAAAAAGACAGCAAGTGAAATTTTAGATTTTTTCATTAAACATGTCAGAATCAAGTCAGATGTCAAAACCAAAGTCCTTAACAAAATGAAATTTCCACCCCCCTCTCACTCTAACAATTAAGTCATGTTAAAACATAGGTGCCAATCTACATCAAGTTCCATTTTGTTTAGTACCCTACACAATGACAATAGTAGATATTATTCTATTGCTATCAYAGTAGATTCCCAAGCTGTTTATAATGTAGATGAAAAAGGAGTTGGAAGGAGGTGCTCTAATTAGCTGTATGTCTGAAAGCAACATATTGATCTCAAATATCATGATGGATTTATGATTTTATTTTCCTGGGTGAAAATTGGGAGGAGGGAATCTTAACTGGGAGGAAATAAACAGAAAAGTAAAAAGACAGAGCAARGGAAGGGGCAGATGAGAAGGAGATGCAAGGGAGAGGTGTGATGCTGAGAAAGACAAGCATGTTCATGCCCAATACAGGCTGCTGCCAAACAGAACAGTTCTAGTCAGGAGTTAAAGTTCTCAGGATAAAGGGGCTGCTTGCTAGGCTATCTTGGCTCATTGCAAAGTGTGAAGGACTACTTACTGTCTTCTTGCCTCCAAAAGCAACGTTCCCCAAATGATGGTCAGAATCAAGACTTTTTGTCTAGACCTTACACAAGACAACATCTGCTAGTTCAAGAGGATGAGAGAACTAATTTTAAGTCTCAGTCACACATACATCAGCCAGGCAAGTCAAATGGGATATATTTTCTATAACTTGGAAATCTGCAGTTTTAGTATGTGCATAAGAAAAGGGAGCTGTGACCTATTTCTGTCCATGCCACAATTTCCTTTTTGTGATAACTCTGAGCAAACCACTTAAAATACCTCCATTTCAGCTTGTTCTGTAAAGCAATTACAGTGCTGCTTGCTCGCTCGGAGGGTGTCATGAAGGTAGGTGGGAGTTAGCAATACAAGCTGTGGTGCCTGGTCTGCAGGTGTTGCTCAGATGCATTTTTATTATGTAGTGACTGACTGAGGCCCACAGAGTTTGAAGGGAACTTGAGAGGCTGCCTAGTCATTTTACTTACCTGTAAATGTATGTATCTATGTAAATGTATGTAAATTAGATGTTTAAGAGGGATGGATGCTGCCCTGTTCTAAATGGAGATGGGGGAAGAAAAAGAAGAGGAAGGAGAGGAGGCAACAGTGTGCCAGGACACAGCACCCTACRCTTCACTGGCCCATATCAATGCATGACAAGGCCCCATAAAATAACATGCATAAAAACACAGGTGTGAACACTAACACATACACCTAAAGCAACTCGCACATTTAAAATGCAGTTCAAATACTTACTGGCACGCCTTGGCTATTTTAATTGTGTTCCTCTCCACTGCTTATTCAGCATCTTGAGCAGAGGCATAATTTCAAGATATTTCATAATAACTACTTTTTAGAAATTGCCCTGCCCTTTCCATGATGCATTATTTCAAAGCACCTTTTTAAAAGGCAGAGACTGCTAGATAAGATCAAATGTTTTGCTCAAATTAAATAAAAAAATTACTTGGAATTTAAAACTTAGCAGTTTTGTTTCTCTTAGTGAATGAAGAGAGATCTCTGCTGAGCCTTCAGGTGAATCAGCAGTGCATGCAGCCCAAATCGTGCATTTCAAATGCATAAAAACATGTACCRGGAAAACAGGCTTGAGACTCCCTGCTAAAATATATCTCTGCACACCTGGAGAGAAGAGGCACAAAGTAAACACCTGAGGCTTTTCATAATAAAGTATTTCTATCAGGAGAATCACAACAATGAAAGGATGCTGTTATTAAAAAGCATAAGCAGAGAAAAGGTAAACTATCATGTTTAGGAAAATTAAAGCATTAAATCCTCTAGGGTCTCTACTATTCCTTTTACTGGGTTAAAGGAGACTTGGCACTGCATTCGCCAGCACAGATGTTATTAAACATCTTCAGCTGGCAAAGCTGTGCGGGAAATTCTTGTAATAAAATAGCAATATTGTGAAATAATTTGAGATGAAATCTAACTTGTATCATCTAAAGACTGAATGTTGCCTGAAGTCTGACCCACATATGTAACTGGCAGGTCTATTCAGGTGGTGTCTGTGTCATGAACTGCAAGTTAAGACACTAGATTTGCAATTATTTCAAAAATGCCTGGTTTTGCAAAAAATTATGCCAACAAGACTATGTAAAATGGCTTCTCTTAACAGGAGAAGAGATGCTTGCATGCTAAAAAGGCAAGGGTTCTACCAGCTCTTAGTTCTTATTTTTATGTTTGATATTTGTTCTCAATCAATTTCCTTAATAAAAATAAATAAATGAGAGGAAATCTTCATGAATAAACCAAGTGAATATCAGTTAATAAGAGTTAACTAAATTTATTTAGGGAATACTTTAGGATAATGAAGTATTACATAAAGGGGAATCCACCTGCGATCGCACACACGCACATAAAATAAAGGCTATATTTCTTTACAGGGAAGAATACTACTACTCAATGAAGGTCTCTCAGTTGATCAGAGCATTTTTTCATGCTGAAAAAGATATAATTTGTGCTATGAGATTTTTTTCCYTGACGATGACTTGCACAGCAGTTCAACCAAAGACACACTAATTTTGTTTTTAAGCTGAATCCATACCTGACTGCTGAACATCCATCTCAGGATGGATGCTTTGACTGGTTATTAGGAATGACTGTGGAAATTCTGCAGAAAYGTGGTTGCAAGTCGTGTAAACTTAAAATATATTCACTATTTTCTTATGCTTATACCAAAAGATGTTGAAGAGAAAGATTAAGGTACTGACAGAAAAGATTAAGATCCACAGRGAGATATATGATAGGAAATGAAGACTGAAGACTGGGTGGGAAGGAGGTGCATGCATGGACAAGCAGACATGGCCAACGCTTAAGGTGCCCAAAAACTGCAACTATCTCAAGCAACAGCAAAGATCAGAGCTCGACTCTGAGTCAGTTTGATTCTATCATTTGCCAGGTATATGTCAAAACTGGAGGAGCTGTGTTCATTTATATTTGCTACTGGATTTGGTAGCGTGGGTTTAGAAAGGGTTTGACTATATAAGAAAAAAACTAAGCAATCAAACTGTCAAATGTTGTGACTGGGATAGACTTCCTAGTTGCTATGGGAAAACAGCTGGTTTGTCTTGGTGAACATTCCCTGATTGCAAAGGCAAAAAGTTTTTAGTCCCCTGGAACTGGTGCCTTAATTGATCAAAGACACATTTTCAGATGTTTGCAGAAGTAGTTAAGAGCACACATGGAAGATATCACGAGAGGACACTTGGATAATTGTCCGACACAAAATATATATCCTGGAGAGCCCTTTGTTCTTTGGAAGTCTAACATACATCAACAGCAAAACCCACAAAAACTGCACGTAGCTAATCAGTCTTGATGCTGGACTGATGCAGGAGTTCCTCAGGTCAAAAGAGGCTTTTTTCCCTCTTTCATTATTAACTGGTTAGACAACTCTAGATTAGTCTACTAAYAGTGGTGGTGAAAAGTAGGAGTGTGTGTGGGGGGGAAAAGAAACCTAAATTGCATAAGATAAGAAAATAGTTGTAAAAATCTTGAAGCTATTCCAAGGGAAAATGACACTGCTAACCGTGGAGCATAGAGATCCTCCTAACTGTGGAGCATAGAGATGCCTGAGCTGATGCTGGCTCGRCGCTGTGAGGACAGGTACTACAACATTTTCCAGTTATCACTGGAAACAGCACAAAGCAGAATCTTTGCACTCACAACAGCTTATCCACAACCTTGGAAGTGGAGACATGGCTAAAAGTTATGTGCATGTATAAATCACCAGCAAAAATCCGTAACAGGGAAGAACACACTTAAGCTTGCACAAGGCCAACTCTACTATCAGCTACCAACTCATAACCTAAAGTATTTGCTTTGCAACCAATATAGGTCATCTGTTTCATCTCAGTAGCAATCAGGAAGCCATCTAAATAACTGGCTCCCTTCTACAGTCTGCATAATGGGATTGGTTCCCTGCCCTTACCTTGGCTGAGGGTTAAGTATTTGGCAAGACTGAAGGATGAAACCATCAAAATGCTTAAAAAACACATGGTCTGATTTTAGCCGGTGGCTTTTTGTGGTGTGCTGCCCAAGGATGTACTTTTATCTTGGCTAGATCTTGGCTTCACCTTTTTCTGCAGGAGCAGCACAATTGTCACTTTGCAACTAAAGGCTGTCTTCTTCCTTTAGCGGGTATATAATCAGTGCAAGTTTGGCATAATTCAGAGCATTTGAACTGAAAATAAGTTAAAGAATACCTCCTAACTGWTTCTGAAGGTTTCATCTGTGGGCCATTACCAGGCCAGAATTGGCATCATGCACTYATGGGCAACTTTTCTGACACAGAACTGGGTGCTCCGTTTAAAGGTTATGGGCATATATAAATGATTAGAAGTAATCTAAGGCACAGAAGCAAATCCATAAAACTGAGCAGGAGGACAGAAAGGAAGGAATCAKCTGAGGAACCTGATTTTCCCCATATCTGTGTTCTTTCCCAGAGCCAGGAGCATGCCAAGCCTACCTACCCACCTTCTCTGTATGTAATATTCTCACTCTTAGATACAGTCTGCACAGCAGCCACTACTGCATTCCATTAAATTACTTTCCAGCCTCTCTGCATCCACCTCACTACACAATCTCTTCCACGTCCAGTGATTAGATATTTGTGATCCTGCCAACAAGCAATTAGAATTGATGCCTGTCCCGGAATGATCAGCAAAATACAGAGAAGTGGCAAGTTTGTAAGGCCTGAACTTCCTTCTCACCCCTCACCGACTTTCCTATTAAAAGCAAGTAGAAAAGTGCCCATGTAACATACTTTAAAGCTTATATTTTTTTTCTGCTTTCAAAACATTTTGAGTTCGGATTTTATGCTTCTCACATCACAGTCCCAGGTGAAACTCAACAAATTCAGTCACTTTTCCAGCAAATTTCTCCCTCTTCCCCTATCCTTCCTGAATGCAGTACAGCTGTCAGCAGCCAGCACAAATAGGTCTTGACAGAAACAGGATGGCTAAATCTCCTAGGCTGCACAGTTTCTGCTGTGGGACATTTTTGGGTTTTAGATTTTGCAGTTCTCAATGAAGAGGCTGCTTGCTGAAGTATGTATGTGGATCCTTCACCCAGAAAACCTATTCAGYAGAACAGTTGTGACTGTAGGTCCTTCCATTTTACTCTAGTAATAWTTTCTTTGCAAAGGGGTGCTCAAGAGCCTGAACATGGTTGTGCTGTAGGGAAGGGCACCGCTGCACGTATTGCATTGCTGACCTGGCTTGAGTGGATTTCTCTGTTTTGCCTTTGCTCCCTCAGATCCAACAGAGCTGATGAACCAGAGAGGAGACCAGCTCAGGGGATACCAGCAAAGTGGTGCAGATAAGTATCCGAGTGACCTAACAGCTTGTTATGAAACATCCTTGGGATACCCAGAACTAACTGATACAATTTGAAGAAACCTTGATTTTGGTATGCTGCTTCATAGACAACACAGACAAAAAAGAAAGGCAGTAACATACTACTGTGTTCTGTCCTGCATCTTTCCATCAATTCCTTTAAATACTTTATAGCCTTAAAAAATAAAGCCACATTTATATAGTACATAACAGTAAGGAAAAAAAAATAAGAACATCGTGGAAGAAGAGAAATGCTTGGAATTTAAGTAGAACACAGAGGAGACAGAAAGAACAAGTCTCTTTGCAAACTGACACACAACTGTGAAGCAAAGTTTTCAAGTGAATCAAGACTTGGAGGATTTTAATTGCATTGTTATTTTAGTGTTCTACTGCTATTTCTATTGAATTCACAGGATATTGTCTTTTTTCCCCACTGACACAGTCTCTGAAAGTGATACAAACAAATTTAATTTTGCAGAGTTGCAGTAATAGCTATCTTCAAATATCTAGACAATATCTCTTACTCTAAATCACCATTTGATGCACTATAAAGACAGCTACATTTGAATTAAGTACTCTTCAATATTACTCTGCTATTGTTTAGGTGAATAATTATGTGCAGATTCACCCTTGCTTCTGTGCAGGCACAGTTGCACATAGGCAGGTACTCTGAATAGGTCTCTACAAGCATAATTATATAGTCTGATTAGGATATCGATTATATACTATGATTTTTGGAGKCCTGTAGGGACAAATGGGAGATTTTAAAGATAGAGATAATTAACTAAAAGAAGAACGATCGCTATACCTTTCAACATCCTCTATATAAAAGAGGCATCACTCCAACATAGAAAGGAGGTTTCATTATACAGTTATTAGATATCACTTGAATTTCAGCAAAATACTTTAACTGTAAGACTATACAATGTTTTATTACAAGAGAAATAACATTAAAAAATGTGTGAAAGGCTCTGTAAAGAGATCTGTAAGTTCCAGAAAATAGCCAAGGTTACAGATAACAGTACATATTAGTAACTATATCTATCTAGCTATTCTTTTTTCTCCACTACTCAAATTATTTGGTACACTGGTTCTACTTATTTTCTTTTTCAGGCCTCTCATGTTCATAACACAATAGGATTCCCGAAACTTTGCAGTGATATAAACAATAGTTAAATGATTTGGCTAAACTTTACAAACGTAAGTGTGTAAGTTGGGGTGAAAGCAAATGGTGCCAGAGGAGGAGTCCACTGAAAAGAAGGTACTGGAATTTCTAYGCAAGAATGCCACAAGAATGTAAGGGGGTCATTTCTGCAGAAAGACTTTATAATCCTTGATTTATATCATGTGTCATGAGGCTTAGTTTATTAGCGTGTGTAAAGACTTTAGGATAATTTAAAATTAAAGATTACTAAGCAGCAAATGAAGCAGAATATATATATTTCTAGTAGGAATTTCCACAATGTTCAAGACTACCCACCTTGCAAAAAAGGTAGAGTTCTTAACTCCTCTTAAAGCTGGAGCCCCAAAGGATACACCAACCCCTGGATCTGCAACAGAAGGAAAAACATTTCTGATTGACTTTCTGATTTGTGATGAAGAAACTCAGTTTATTTTTACACAAGAAAACTTTCACATTCAAAACAATTTATACCATACGATAGTAGGTGCAATTTTAAGTGCAATGACAACTATGCTTACTGATTTGTTATGGTTCTTTCAAGAAAAGTTGCACCCAGTGTAATATCCTGAAAGAAAMAAGAGACAGAGACATTGAAAATACCACCTACTCACAGCACAATAAATTCCACATTTCTGTTGCCTTCTACAGTTGTTTGCACATTAACTGCTTGAAAACTGTATTCTGATTCAATATTGTTTAATACTTGGACATGAGATGCACTTCTAAAGAGAAAATCCTACGGAATTCAACACAAGATATTTCTGTGACAGAACAGCCTAATTTCGTCTTAGTATGTCAACTTCAATAGAAAGCTGCCCACTTCTATGGGATCAGCATCTGCAGTCCTACTCCCCAAACTCCTTGGTATGGAGGATACCAACAGAAGAAGAAAGCAATTTCTCCTCCTATTTCTCTCTCTCTCTCCATTTTTTTTTTTTTTAAAAAAAAAAAAAAAAAAAAAAAGAGGGATGAATGTAAAAGAGAAATTTCACCAGGGGAAAAGATGTCCTTTGAAAGAGGGGAGCTTGCAAACTGAACAGCTAGTGTCTGAAGCCTCTGATATTTTCTAAAACGACCGGATTATGCAAGACCTGAAGCAGCCACTGCTGCCTGGTTGCAGCATCCAGGAGGAATCAGGGATGCTCGGTGTTTAGTAGAAGTTGTTCAAAACCTGGTGGGACTTAACCTCTAGCAAGTGTGTGGGTTCCCTGACTGGCTGTGGATGTGTCCTGAACATTGTGTCCTTGTCCCAGCAGTAACAGATATCAGATGCCAAGGGGGCCTACAAYTTCAAAACAGAGCAATCTCTGTTGTGCTCTTCAATATATGCCATGCTTTTCTTMTTATTATTATTATTTTTTAAATTCACATAAATGCAGAAGCCTCAGTCAAATCTGACTTCTGCTTTTGTGAGTCTATGTATAATTTTACATTAGGATGCTCGTGGACACTTGGGATGACTCCAGAAGGTCAATACTAACTTGCTTCCAACATGCAGTCACTGCAAATTGTGTTAAGAAGTCATGTGCAATCTCCACTGTCTTYAGAGTGTCATTTAGTGCTACTTTTTTTTTTTCCCCCCCTCTCTCCCTTTTTAATGAAAGCAGGTGCTGTCTGGGTGAGCGTTTCATTCTGCATGGTAAGCAGATCACAATGCTAGGAGCACAAAACATGAGAAACTTGCTGAGTGTGAAGCTAACTTATTCAGTCCTTCCACACTAGAATATCCTCCAGCCTCAAGTGAAAGAGCAGAATAGAGGAATACACAATAGTATTTAAAAGAGGAGGAGGAGGAGGAGAGAGAGCAGAGCTTTGGGAGCTTTGGTGGTTGAAGGCCAAATGTCATCCTACGAAGAACAGAGATCCTGTCAAGCAAGGCAACAGCCACGTGAAGAGATTTCAGAATCTGGTTCCTTAAAGGGGGCCTCTTCTGAAGCTGCACGTCCAGAGTGATGAAAAGAAGCCTTAAAAGGACATTTAGAAATAGCACTCAGATCACACATGCTTGTAGTTAGTATCTGCAGGCTTAATTTATTATGGTATCATAGCAATTTGGCATTAAAAAAACCACCCAATACTACCATTTGTTGTAGTATTTATCCTTCCAGCAATACTGGAGGAATAAAATTAAATAGTTCCAGTTTTGCTGTTTACAATGCACTTGAAAGCACTGGAGTGGTTTTCACTTTCCAAACCAGTGATGAAGAGCACTGCTGAGGAATGCAGGTTCACTGCTGTGCGGCCGCGCGCGCGCGGTGCTGCATCCAAAGGGAACGTTACAGGCCAGAATAACCAGAGGCAGAACATCATTTTTTTGGGATTCTTTCAAAACTGCAGTTCTGGCATGTAGAAGAAACTGCTTTGGTACCGAAGGTTCGGCCAACACCACTCCATTGATGACAGTCGAATCATCCCAGCCAAGATTTGACTGGGTAAGGGATAATCCTGGCCAGAAAAAAAAACTTTGGATTCCTACCCCTGTTTTGTTGGTTTTTTCTTTTATCTTTACTTCTAAAATTGAAATCCAAGAGCTTTTTGGAAGAGAACATTTCTGGTCTGACAGATAAAAGGAACGTGATGTTTTTCTGTCAGAGTTGGGAAATTAAAGACAGGGGAACACTAGGAAGCATCTCAGCACATCGAGCAACCCGCCAAGACATAAATCTGCATCCATTGTTGTTAAGGAAAATTATGCTGACACAACACTGTGAAAAGAAAGAAAAGATCAAATATTGATGCATTTCTTGTCTTCAAAATAAAAAACGTATAAAATCAGAAGTGGGAGATGTGTCATCCTGCTCTGTCACCTCAAAGAAGCAGACATGCACACACACTCACATAGAGGACATGTGAGCTCGGGAGCACTTAGCCATTGTTTCTTGTGTATTAAACTTCGCCACAAATAGAAATAGACACGTTTAAAACCAAAACAAAAACTTCTCACACCATGCCCAACCAGCAAAGCAGTCCCCTGCAAACCAACATYGGGTCAAAGACACTATCCTTCATCCCAAGAACGTTGCATTTTTGTGTAGTGACATACAAGGTAAGGGGAGGCACTTCAAAGGCTGACATTTTAAATCCCAGATTAGAACACGCTAAGACTTGGTATAAGAGGGGATCTCTATTCTCAAAATTACTGATATGTTTCTTACTACACAAAGTTTTGTCCCGACTTGTTCTCCGGGATCGCAGGCTGCTAGGGAGCAAGGACAAAGGGGCGTTTTCATTTGTGATCCGCCTCTAGTCTTTTCTGAATTGGTATTTCATGTGTTCCCCGACGCACAAAGGAAATGCTCACGGGCACCCACAAGAACTGCAAGCACTACRCCAAGGCTGCAGCCCTCTGCTCATTTCTTGTATACCTGAATTTTAATTCAGAGTTAAGTCATTAGCTGGGGTCAAATCTAGTCTATAGAATGGCTCCTGTTCTACAGGAACATGCAGCGGCCTTCAGAGGGTGAGAAAAGGCAAAGTAGTCAAGGGCCAAAAAAGAGGAAAAACAGCTTTCCAAGCGAAGAGAACCTAAACACTACTCCTGCTATGTAGTTTTTGATGAGTCCTACTTCTTGCAGCCTCAGTTTTACCTGCTCGTGGGAAAGAGATTTTAGACGTAACCCAAATGAAGTGAAAATAGTTTAGAGCTTCATCTTATGAACATAACTGTATCTGAGGTCAGACTGCAGATGGGTTTCTAGTTCTTGCAGAAAGAGTAGACTTTTTTTTTTTTTTAAATTGTCCAGTGAGAAGGAAGGACTACAAAATCTATACAGAAAGCAATTCAACAGCATTGCCTGAATTTTTCATCTATAACTTATAAACTATGTGTTAGAGAGTAAGCCATTTGGTGAGCAAAGATACGAGGTCTTGTTAGGCTGTGGGAAAAAAAGCAGTTATCAAGAAAGCAAAAATAWAAAACACTCATTCAAAGTTATAAGAGCAACACCAGGGAGGCATAAAAGCAGAAAGCAAGCGCCTTGTCCAGTTTGGAGTTGCAAATAGATAAAGGGTCTGTGAGCCAACGTCTCYTAAAGTGGGAGGATATAAGACATGGACATATTAAAGCATAGAGGCTTTTAATTATTCATAATGCTGAGATTGCCCTGTTGAATTTGTCTTCCTGAAGGAGGGAAAATGAAATGAAAAAGGGAAAGGGAAACTGAGGTGGAAAAAGGAAAGGAGCTCAATTTCAGGAGGCTGGAAATAACCACCCAGACAAATCCACCTTTAGCTTCCCTTGCCCTTGAGCAGGCAGCATKAAGCTGTAGAGTCTGATTTTTGGGAGACTACTTTAGCCAAAATTTGATACCTAAAGTCTTCAGGAATTGATACACACAGCATGCAATTTAGAGTTTTAATCTCCAAACAGGAAACGCTCCTTTCTCTCAGTCTATAGGACCCAGTGCAAAGGCTCTTCACGTTCCAGAAACGTGTCCCTACCAGGAACACTAAGCACATCTCAGATTCAGGAGGATAACGAACACTTCAGCTTTCCCCAAACAGGGGGCAACGAGCTACCAGAAAAAGCAAGTGCTCGATTCCAGTTCCTTCATGAATCCCCTCAACTTCGTTTTAGGGTTTATACATTCTCAGGGAATAAGCAACACAGGTGAAGATCAGAGGTAAAGATTTCCTTAGACTTGATTTAGAAACATTTAGGAAAAAGCTGTCTGACAAAATACTTGGATTAATTGTTAATGAGCTAGGAGGCAGGGAAGCCACCTTGCTTTCTGAAAGCCTCAAATTCTTTTCATGCACTATATTTGGGCCTTCTTCCCTCTTTCCCTCTTTTTTTTCCACTGTACTTTCTGAACTCTCACTTCAAAGGCTGTCATGTAGCTTATATCATAAACATCATTTTCTCCTGCCCTCAGGAAACTGTCAATCCAAGGGGGCATTCGCCAGTGCACTGTTGTCAGGGACATGAATGTTTGGAATCTGCACACCTCCTCCCCCAAATAGTTTTGAGGGGGGATAAGGTACCCGAGCCCAGAATGAACCACGTGCAGATGAGAAAGCAAGGAGMAATCCTTCCTGGTCTGAGTCCAGGAGCACCTGAGAGGCAAGAGCAATACTCTCAAGTCATTAGAAGTGCCTGCCTTCCTTCACTGGATCTGTCTGGGATGGGAGCAGGCAGGAAAAGCCCAATACCAGACACCAGAAATCTCATGGAGACCATGTTTATGAAATAGTRGGCAGGATTTTAGGAAGGCTGCAGAAATGTAACGATACCTCATGTAGGAGACTGGGGTGCTCCAAAGGGAAAGGTGCAGAGCCAGGTTCAGACCCAAGCTGAAGTCTCCAGCACCAGAAAGCACTGAGCAGACACACAACAAGCCTC